ACCGATATGATAAGAGCATCATCCCCTAGTGCACAATCCGGTTGCTCCATTCTATTGGTGGGGAGGTCCAACTGCTGGAAAATTGGTCCAGCACCAATCAATCAATCAATATTCAGGGTTTTTTTTATTTTTTTTCATTGATTGGGCCGGGAGGGGTCACCCCACCCCTTCTCCACCTACATGCACACACACACACACACACACACACACACACACACACACACACACACACAAATGTGGCGAGGGGTTCCTGCCATTGGGCAGGCAACCTGCCTCCCCCCTTATATATATATATATATGCAAAGAACACCCCTTCCACAAACAGATCCCAAAAAAAAAAAAAACTTCAAAAAAAATAAGAAAAGGAAGAAAATAGCCAGCGTTTGGGTCGCAGATTTGGCCATTCAGCCCATCCCGAACACCAGCTACCCCAATAATGACAAAAAAGGCCTGAAAGGTTGTCGTCTCCAGATTCTACAGGTAATTGAACTGGTTGGGCATATGCCCTCCCTCTCTCTCTCCACTCACCGTTGAAAAATTGCAAAAGGGGAATGAATCTTTCCTCGTGCACAAGAAAACAGGACGACTTCTTGCACGGCGTCCTCTCTCTCTCTCTCTCTCTCTGTGTCCAGGCACGAGTTCAAAAAACGTGTTTTTGATACTCCGTTTTGCTTCCTTTTTTTTAAGAAAACGTCCATTCTTTTTCTTCTCCTTTTCTTTCTAAGAGGAATGTCATAGGTTGTTTTCTCTTTTTAACTTTTTCTTGCGAAGGAAAGAAGCTTGTGGAATGTTTGGTAGCCCCAGCCAGCCTCGTGGGTGATCAGGATGATACCAGTCGGCCCATGCTCAGACTTCATAGGTGGGCGAGGAGCTGGTGGTTTACCTGAAAAAAAATAAGACAGCTTCTGGAATTATGCGCATATCCTTGTGCAGGGACCATGCATTTCGCACCCCCCCCCCTTTAGCTTGTGATTAATTACTGCTCAAGGTGACAACAGAAACCTCCTTAAAACCTCCCCATCGCGATGGCTCCTTTCCATCAGAGCGTCACCTTGCAGGAAAAAACTGGGTCCAGACCCCCCCTCATATTGAGTGGGTTCCTGAGGCAAAACATCGACTACCATGTATTCCTGAGGCAGCATTGACTACCATGTATTCTTACGGCAGAGCATTGATTACCATGCTCACATTTACGGTATTCCTGAGGCATGTGATGATGGGACCATTGATTACCCTGCTGCTCATATTCAGTTGTATTCCCGAGGCATGGGAGCATTGATTACCATGCTCATATTGAGTGTATTCCTGAGGCAGCATTGAGTACCATGCTATCTTCTCTTCAAGTCAAAATCCAGGTTTTAATGGATTCCGCCTGTTTTTACTTTCTCTTCCCGCCTGATTTCTAGTTCCTCTCCTTTTTCAGCAAAACTCGATAACGCATGTACACCATTTGCATGCAGAACCATCCGATGCACTAAAATCCGTCCTCGACAAAGACTGGCATTCCAGCTGGTGCACATGCCGCCACCTACAGGTAGCCTGGTTACCAGCCGCCTCCTGTACGGGCACGGCTGCGCACTTTTCATTCCGTCTTGTACATGCATGGACGCAACCATATGTTTTTTCGCCTTCCGTCATGTACGTGCATGCATATACGTGCATAGATGTTCCGTCATTCACATGCATGGACACAACCATATGCTTTTTCGCTAAATACAACCCTATTCCATGAGGGATGATGAGACACTCACCTTGACGACGTCCACCAAAAAAAAAGGGGACGGAAGCAGCACGGACACGAGCCCCAAACACGAATAGAGCAGAAGCAGAGAAAAGGCATAGGAGCTTTTTTTGTGAATTTCATCCATCCTGGCAAAAGGTAGTCTGCTGCGTAAGGTGACATTCAAGTTGAGCAGAGAAGAAGACCATTCAGACTTGAGAGAACGCCTGACAATGAAGAGCACATGGTCAGTGTGTACCAGTGAAATCCCATGTCAGGATGGGCATGTGCATTCACGTTTGTGTGCGGGTGTGTATGCGCACACGCATGCGCACCCTGTGCCTATTCTGTCATAACGTGACATTACGGTTATATCCCCCCACTCCCCTCGCTTCATATACATATGAACGTTTCGAATGTTCCACGCTATAGGGAGGGAAAAACGAGGGTGGGGGCACAAATGGCGGAAAATAGGTCAACCCACATGAAATACTCGTCTTACCGTTACGCTTCATCTCCGTTCATTTCGGGACCTTGTCCAGCCACTCCATGGCACGTGAACATGCCGTCCAGCAGGATGCTGACTTCAATTCGGCGAAAGAAGGTCGAAGCACGCTGGGAACACATCTGACCCGCCCCTACTAACACCAACGCAAGACATGCACTCCGTGATCATATATGTTCGTGTTCTTATCATACTCAACAATTATATACGAATTGCCGTTTTATAATTTCGTATTCTCACGTCTTTATTCTTCCCACCCGGAATCAGAACGCTCTTCTGCTTTCAAAAAAAAAAAAAAAAAGCACGCTTTTCTGCTCACTTCCACCTGGAGCACGTGTTCTCCACACTTGCACCTAGAGAGCACCTGTTCTTCATCATACTTCGAGATCACTGTACGACACCCCCATGTAAGTTCAAACTCCACATTCACACGGTCTCATGGGGGTTGTGTTGTCAATCACACGTTCTCATCCACTCACCTTACACGTGACAAGTGGCTCCGCCTCTGAGCACCACGTAAACGAAACACACACGCATGCGCAAAGGCAAGAAATCGAAATCGGTACCGCAGCAGGCAGACATGCTGCAACCACATACATATATCGGGCATCCACAAAGACAACCCGCCACAGAAACCATTCCATCTCACAGACGGGGACTGGAACATCAGAACAGCTGTGCCGCGCGAACGCAAGACGCACACCGACACCGTCATCACGCAATTGTAAAACACGCAGAAATAACAAAATCTATGACACGCCCACATCAACCAAACCCTAACACACTCTTCGAAACACAGAAGAAACACCTAGCATACGATCGCCAGCTGCTGGAAGAAACACCTCCGAGAGAAGGCGAAAACGTATAAGAGCCTCCCCGCACCACACGCCAAATGAACAGAAACGAATACTCTAATGAGGCGCTGCATCTGTCCATGTTCTGGCGAAAGATTCAGTTTCACTTTCGTACATTTGATAAACGGTGCGACAAACCGATGGACTCTCGCCGTTTCTCTGTGTCAAACGTCACAACACCTGAAAGCCAAGCAGAGCACGTACAACAGCCTACTGCACCCGCTCCACGCTCTAATACACTCGTCATGGCCAATCACCATACCTTCACCATTCGGCAAGAATCGCGAAGCCAAACAGAGCACGTAACAACACCCAGACCATAAGCAAACCTCAGTATCAGATGCACGGAAGACAGACCGTATTACCATACGTACAACACCAGACCATAAAGAAACCGCAGTATCAGATGCACAGAAGAAAAAGACCGTATCATCTCATTTCAATAAAATTCTTGTAAAATTTTCACTATATCACACCTCTTTCCGCTGGGAGTTGATGCAATCCTTCGACCCATGAAAGCCGTCCTCTTGATCAACGAGTCCGGCGTTCCAGCGTGTTGGTTACGCGAAGACAAAAACACAACCACACGAAAGACGCGACACCGCCACCACAAGAACCACCAAGACTGATCTATAACTAACATCCTCACCGGAATGGCACGCGCAGCCGTTATTGCTGTCGTATTCGGACTGACGTTCGCCCGAGTCCATTTATAACGACCGTGCGGTTTATTCGAAAGACGACGATAATAGCAGCTCAAACAGTCAAAAACCCTTATCACCTTCCACGAAAGTTCACATCCCCTCCCCTTAGACAATTGGTCAAATCATTTCGATTATGCACTACAGATCACCGCCGTTAGTCATGGATCGAACGAAATCAACAATGCACTCACGTTGCGAAATCTGGATCGTATGAGATCAAGAGTTCAATTCCTGTTTCAAAATGCAGCCGAAGCAAAGCAATTTGACAGCAGGGAACACCAAATACGGAGTCCATATTTCCATAATTCTTGTCTCGTTCTTGAATAAAATACATCCTACAACAACGACTCCAATATTTTTTTCTGTCTTTTCTTTTTTTACAAGGGCTCCAATCTTATTATGTCATACTTGTGTAATTATTATTACGTACCCAATACCATATCGTACAAGCTCTCAATTGAAACCATGCCACGTCTCATATTTTATTATACATCTTTGAGATACCTATTGTTCGAGTTTACGGAACATACAAACGCTGCGATCATCACGCCTAATTATACAGAAAACATACAGAAAACATACACCATGCACTTCAGAAGAGCACGCATTTCTGAGCACAAGAACATCGAATAGCGGCGATCATTTCCTTTCGAACACATACGTAATTATTACAAACATAATATCGTATCGTACAAGCTCAATAACATCCTTACGTCTCACATCATTATATGCATCCAAGCTTCTTTGGAATACCAATTGACCGAGTTTACGGAACATACAAGACCAGCGAACATCGTCTTTCCTACCCATGACATAGACGCACAAGCCAGTTCACACCACAGCATGTACGTAACGAGTCCACTATTGACTTCAAACGCCGTGCATGTTTAGCAAATCACGATTAACTACAAACGAAACAAACACCATGCACTTCGGAACAGCATGCATTTCTGAGCACAAGAACACCGAAGAGCCGCGATCATCTCCTTGAGAACACATACGCAGAGGAGCGTTCAAAGACTCGTCGAGTCCAAAGACTTCTTTCCATGGCGCATTCCGCCGTGCATGTTTAATAAATCATCGGAACAGCATGCATTTCTGAGCACAACACATCGAAGAGCCGCGATCATTTCCTTTCGAACACGTCCGCACGAGCGTTCAACGACTCGATTAGTCCAAATGATATAATGGACTACTTTCATCGCGCATTCACGTACCCTCACATGTCATACGCGCATTCAAGTTCCACACCCATGAGCCCAGCATTTCGCTCATACAAACATCAGCGACCCATATTTGCAGATAAATAAGATCACCATATAAGAACATCGCAAACCCATCTACCCAACGAACCCATTTCCTTTCGAACCAATCATTTCCTTTCGACCACGTCCGCACGCGCGTTCAACGACTCGAGTCCAAACGAAATAATGGACTTTTTTTCATGGCACATTCACGTACCCTCATGTCATACGCGCATTCAAGTTCCACACCCGTGAGCCCAGCATTTCGTTCATAAACAAACACAGCGACGCATATTTGCAGATAAATCGAAGATCACCATATAAGAACATCACAAACCCATCTACCCAACGAACCCATTTTCCCAAGATCTTTGTTCTCATGTCAGAGATCATGACACCATGTCCAAATGAGAAAAAATTCCAAGCTTGAAACGCTACGTATTAGCGATCGCAAGTGCTTCAAGTATTTACTTTCGAAAAAGACAACATCGTATTCACGGCGACAAGAGTAAGATACTCAGCAGACTACCAGCACTGATATATGTGACCACCTACGATTACCAAAAAGAAACCTCGGAACTGAACCCAACCTCAAGATTCACATCATTGCTTGTACCTCATCTCCCACTCGCTCCCTCTTCACAAAACATGTGCCTCCCCTCTCCATCCCTCAACAACCACAACTGTCAAGCAGAGACAGTCCCAAGTCCCCAAGCGCCGAATATCAGCTCACCACTCCACCTACATCCACCACTCTCGTCAAAGCCCAGATGCGAAGCTGAGCCACGAAAAACATTAGTGAAGCCAAAAACACATTCGTGGCACCACCTCATTACGCGCAGAGAGAGCGTAAGGATTAACAAGAGAACCATTAACGACCACGTGACATCATGCCGGATAATGTCCACCACAGAAGCACTGAAAGGGGACAAGGAATGCAGACAACGAGAACCGTCGTTAACCTCGTAATGAGAAGCATGCGTGTAACAGTTTTCAGATCAAAGAGCATAGAAGCATAAGCGCGCGTGTGACAGCGATCAAACCTGAAACCACCAAACTAATCAACCGAACAGAGCCAAACGAGAGCCGTCGTTAGCCGTCGTTAATAACTGACCAAACCGCACGAGAACCCATGTTAACCTTCCGAATCAATCAAATGTGCCGACTAAACCTCTATCCTGATGCGTGCAATCACGATCAAATTGAATCTCATCAACCGAACCGACCTGAACCGAACGAGAACCGTCATTGTCATTGCGAAAGAAGCAAACACAAACCTCTACGCAGACATTTGCAGCTACCATCCTCGAACCGAATCTTGAACCCAAAAAAAGCGCAATCGTCATCATCCAAATAAACCGATCGATCGATGAAACACTCAAAAGGCACCATACCATACCGCAGAAACCGTTTCAGTAACAGCTTGAATTACTTCCACCGCAGAAGCGAGACGAACTAAGACACTCGACATTATCGATTTTGTAAGGAGACGAGAGAATACAGTTACCTCCACCGCAGAAGCGAGACGAACTAGGACACTCGACAATATCTATGTTGCACGGAGATAAGAGAGTAGACGGTCTTCAAAACGTGGAGCCGTCAAATTTGTCCATTAACATATAGAACTTAAACGAACGAGGATATTTTTACGCAACTGGTCGTCCCTCAACTTTTATCATCATCTTGACGGAAATTTGTTTCAAACTCCACGAGTCCACAAACAGGAAACAAACCCCCACCTGAATCAACAATGAATCGTTTCACGACACAGCCTAGATAGAGAACACGTCTCGCACCACGTGGAGGACTTTTAAAAACCGTCCCGACGCGTACGTCCTAACCGGAGCCAATCTCGTCGAAATGCCGACCCCCCCTCCTCGCCGCATCCCAACCCCCTCTTCACAGTAACCATCTCCCACTCCCATCAACATGGAAACGGGGAACAGAACCTTCACCGGAGACTAAACTATCACACACGCAGCAGCCGTCAAAAAGGCAGAACGTGACCAGTCGGGACGACGTGATCATCAGAAAGCTTCATCCAATGTTCATCTGGTCCACTTAAGAATATCAGTTCACGAGAATCTACACGAAATTTGAAAGTATCAGTTCAAAAAGATCTACATACGCAGAAAAAAAGACCAAAAACTTAACGCCTCCCTTCCGAAAAGACCGAGCAGATACTGAATACAGATACACGCACTTAGCCAGAAACATGAGGACCATTCATACTCGGCAAATCTGATGTAACCGCCGCCGTCAAGAAGGGGCCAATGAAGTCAATCAACCACCCAACGGACATTTACCCCTTACAATTGGGGAGGGCAACTCGCTGCAGCCCGCCTTCGTCCGTTCACATGATATAACAAACGGAGAGGAGAAACGGCAGCAGGCAGCTAATCCATAACCAACCACCCCTTCCATCTCAACTCTTTTGAACGCATCACAGCAAACAGTAAGTATTATCAGCAGCAGCCGCACATCATAGCCACTGGATACGCAGGTAGGAGGAAGTAGTGGTTACAGCTAACTCATCAAGAGATCAATGCCTTCGCCGCCAACGCACTCGATTTTTCGTGGCATCACGTCTGGTTCCGTGCACTGAAACGATCGCCGAAATCTTCCGTTCCGTTATTCGCCGTACAGTTAAGACTTTCGAAGCCCGCACAGAGTTTTTTGTTGCACACAGTAATAACCCCATGATGATCAAATCTGAATATCTCCACCAGACTGACTAATCGGTCAAAATTGCATCATCATCACTACCTTCCAAATACTATCACACAGATTGTATAAACAACGGTGATTTCAGAGCAATGCTGCAGTGCGAGTCCAACAGATTGGAATAGCAAAAAAGACAAAGATAAATTCCCCACCATAGGCTCGTTTAGAGCGCAGAGTCCGGAGGAACTGGTCCTTGCTAACACAGTCCGAAGCTATGTCCGGTCTAAAATATCTCCGCCTCTATACATGCTTCGCATCCACGATTCTCCACCCGCTCCTCCAGATCTCGTGTGATTTGGTAATCGTCATATGATAGAAAGACGCGACAGCAAAACGAGACCAAAAGAAACCAAAACAGAATAGAAAAGAGTTGGAGAGAGAGGGAAAAACCTCTTTGCGTACTATAGCTATTGAACCAAGTACATCCACTTCAGAAACGGCAAACGACGGACACACGAGAGGCTGAAACCGCCGTTACTCTAGAGGCGTCTGACTACTCAACCCCCACCATTACCCTTGTGGACTAGATGACCCGCAAAGAGGATGGCGAGGTTTGTCTAATAACCACCACCTCGCGAGCGGCTGCTGTAGCCACCGGCGCTATAGCCGCCATCGCCGTATCCACCTCCATTGCCATACCCACTGCCGTACCGGTCGCTGTCGCCACCGTACCGACCGCCGCCGCGAGAGCCAAAGCCGCCGCCGCCGCCGCCACTCCGGCCACTTCTTGCTTGAGCTTGGTTCACAGTGATGGATCTGTTGTCCAACTCAACGCCATTCATCGTGCTGATGGCGTTGTTCATTGACTTCTCATCAGCGAAAGTGACAAACCCAAAGCCTCTCGACCTGCCAGTCTCGCGGTCCAAGATGACCTTGCAGTCCACCACGTCACCGCACTGGCGGAATGCATTCTGCAGAGCTCGGTCATCCGTAGCCCAGGCGAGGCCTCCCACGAAGCACTGGTACTCTGTCGTAGCTGCAGCCATCGCGAATGAGGCGTCGACGAAGAGTATAAGGCGAGGAGAAAGACAATAGGAGACGAGAGAAGAACGACGACGTCGGCGTTTTAGATACGGATACGAATAACTGATAGACACAGAAACGAATAACAGACGGTTGCAAACAAATGGGCTGCCGTTCAAATATATAGCTCACGGAGTAGGCTTTTGGCGGCTGCCCTACATGACAGAGGACAGAGACCGCGCCAGGTGGACCAAGAAACAAAAAAAAAAAAAAAAAAATAAGCAGAAAACCGGCAAGGCAGCAGGGTACAGTTCACGCTTTCCAATCTTTAGGGCCTCGCCACACCACTCCAGAAAACGGATTTCAAGTGTTTGGGATGGCCACACAGCCTCGTGAAATGAAACCAACGGTGGGCGGAAACATCCTTCAATCTCAAGGCCGTCGGTCGGGAAAAAACAAAGAAATCCAGCGGCGTAGGAACGCAAGTGGCGTTCAAGAGGTCGTTCGTCCGCTCAAATGCCCGCGGCCGCCTGTGGAATACTCGGTGCCAACGTACCGAGATAGTGAGCTAGTGCGCACAGCGCGGAGGCCCAGCCCGAAGGGGTCTTGGAGCGCATTTTGGAGAACCACCGGCTGACCCTCCGCCCCTCCCAAACGCCCCCCACTTTCCCGTTTCACTCGGAGTCCACAATTTTTTTTTTTTTCTCGAACTCCAACTTTGCTTGAAGACTACCGGCTGACCCCTGGCCGGTATCGCCCACCTGCTGTAGCAGGTATCGCACCTGCTGGTGGGTGCAGCTCCCGCATGTTCCCTCGTTGGAGGCTTGAGCACGGATGTGGCTGCTACGGGGTTCCCCGTAATACTATAATGACAATAAAAAAAAGGCCTGAAAGGCCGTCCTGTCCAGATTTGACAGGTAGCCTTATTAAAAAAATAATAATTAAAAAAAAAAAAAAACTGGGCGCCGTAACGACCGCTGCACGACCTCTGCAGGCTACCGCTGGTCGTTCAGTTTTTGCCTCTACTGCGACCGCCTAAATGACCGATCGGTCTTACGACCACAACCTCACCCTTCTTCTCCATATTCCCGCCCCCTCTACACCGCTCTAAACCCCAAAAAGTCCATCCACATTTCCCGATCGGGAAACGAGCTGCGCGCCAAAAATGCAACTGGGTATAGCGCATCAATTGTCCTGCAACTACACACGGTTGCCTTTCTAACATCTTAGTCACCATCAGCACGTATTGTCTACCGCGTGGGCGCGGGGAACGCAGCCCTAAGGTAGCCAAAGCAATCAGACTAAGAGCGCATACGAGAGAGAGAGAGAGA